AAAATTGTCACCTTATAAAATTGGTGATCATCTTCGACATTGATATTTTTTGAAATACTTTTTATATTTCACTTTTTTTAATGTAATTTATGCTTGAATAATTTAGATATAAAAACAATAGTCAATGAAAATTAATGACCCTTGATATAACATTTAAAGAGATAATAAAAAAATTACAATTTTTTAGAGTCATTTTGAAGATTTTTTACAAAACCAATTCAAGACTTAAAAATGATACTATTATATTCACTAACAAAAAAAAGTATTAATCATTATTTTTTTTTTAAAATATCATACATATTAATAAAACTGCACAAAAAAATTAACTTTTATAATAACCATAAAAAATTTATCTAAATAAAAAAACTAAATATTTATTTTTTATATTTTTAGAATGCATTATTTATTTAAATAATTTAATTACTGTAATAAATTATTTTATTTTAATTTATTTTTTCATATTTTAAAAAAATATATTTATTATATTAAAAATATACCTTTATAAATTAAAAATAAAAAATAACAAAAAAAAATATTGAAAAGTTGGACCCATATCCGACTTTTCAATGCACCACATAAGGGGGGACATTATGATATATATGGGAGGAGGGGCATTCTGAATATTAAATTTGGAACCTGGACAAACATAAAAAATTCTCATTTCTATTAATCGCTAGATATGTTATTAAAAAATTTAATGATCCAATGATAAATCTAAGTGAAAATAAATACTGGTCAGAGCAAATTCAAGAGACAGATGAATCAGGAAATTTAAAGAAATTAGGTGTATTACTATAGGTTATCAAATTAATCCATGAACTTGCTATAACTATGAAGTATTTGTCTATCATTTAGATTGTCATAGACCAAGTGAATGTCGGAAATGGATTTACTGAATAAAAAATAACTAAAGAAATTGCTATTAGAACAAATGTGCATTGAGTTGATTACAACATTCCAAATGGTATTGGTCTGACAAACTTTAGATATAATAACCAGTCTTAACTACTTGGATGCAACTCTCATGTTTACATTAATGATGAGATGATGCCTAAAACACTACAATGTGTTCTCATACAAATCAAATGTTGTATTTTGTCCTATACTTAACGTGATTAGTATTCTTAATATTGTTCTTAATATATAATTCCAGAACTCGCAACCAACTCATGTTAAATATATTACTGTCTCAAAACATATTTTGTATTAAAATAAGTGGTTCTGCCACTATAGCTTAATCATAACAACTTTTGGAGGAGAAATTGAAAAGTTTTATTATCTTCCATTTCCAACTAAGGCTGAATGTTAAGTTGATTTAGATTAGTTTGATTCATCGTAATGATTCATATTGTACTTCAAAAGATTTTGCCTATACTTTTACAAGGACCTGCATGTATAAATATCTTATTTAATCTTATGGCATAGTTACCTCAAACTAAAATATATGCAAATATGTCTTATTTACTGTAGAATCTTTTGTCAATGATCGTGTAAGAAGTTGCTTCATTAATTATTATTATGCTCACAGTACTACTAGGCTTTCCTTTATTGTGTTTTGGAATGGTATGCATTACTGAAACTAATTCAAAGCATACAATACTTTAAGTTCTAAAAATTTGATGATTCTCACCGTTGATTCATTTAGATAATTATCCATATTTATAATTACAGTATATATATATTAAAAAGTTCTAAAAATATAAATAACAAAATATCGTAATCACCCGAGGTAAGGGAAGCTGGTTATTTCCGTTGCATTTGGCTGTGTATGAGTCCAGAACTCATTTGTTGGTTAGAGATTTTTTTTAAATTTCAAGTTGGGACTGTTGAAAAATGGGGTTTTTGAGTTTTCGGAGTTTTTGATAAATTTGGGGTTTTTGATGAAGTTGTGGTTGCATGTTGAAAAAGATGTTATTTTTGAACTCTTGGATGAAAATGTGTTACTTTGGCCGGATTGCATGTACTGGATAGTGATTTTTGCAGGTACTTTGGGAAAATTTTCGAACTTGGTAAGGTTTCAGATGAGTTTCGCGCTGAGCGCTGTTCATCGCGCTGGGCGCGTGGCCGCCATGGGACCTCATTTAGCCAAGCTCGCTGAGCGCCTTGATGAGTGCGCTGGGCGTGCTTGAGAACGTAGGTCTCTGGTTGGCCCTCGCTGGGCGCGACTTGGACTGCGCTAAGCGCGATACCATTGTAACTTGCTGTTAGGCTCTAGAGGCTGCGCTAAGC